AGAGACTCAACTTCAGTACCCACATACAACACATAACTAAGAAAGTTTCTAAAACAGTTGGTATACTCTCCAAAATCAGATATTAATATTGTACAAGAATGTACAGATATTGTACAAGAATGTAACAACTCTTGTATATATCTAAAAAAAAAAAAAATATTATGTACCTAACTCTGCTCTCATCTCTCTATATTATGCACTAATCTATCCCTATCTTAATTATGGTATCTGTGCATGGGGTTCAACCACTGCAAACCACCTCAAGTCCATCATTACCCAGCAAAAATCTGCTATCAGAATAATAACAAATTCTGCTTTCAGACAACACTCAGCCCCCCTTGTTTAACTCCCTAAACATGCTAAACATAATCTCACTCCACAAATTCTCCTGTGTCAACTACATTTACAAAACCCTGTTCTTAAATGCAAATCCTGCTCTGAAACTCTCCCTGGACAGATGTAATAGGACCCATTATCACCGCACCAGAAATAAATATCTCTTTGATATCCTCAGAGTCAAACTTAATTTGTGTAAACACACTATGCAAATAAAGGGACCCAGTCTATGGAACTCACTCGCTATTGAATTGAAAAGCTGTCCAACTTTTGCATCATTCAAAAACAATACTAAAAAGTACCTAATTTCATCTTCATAGTTTTTTACCTTTTGTTGTAAAACTGCACTGTATCTATTGCTACCCAATCTCCCGATCTTTATGTACCCAATCTGAACATCTTTATCATTGCGATCATTGCTGTCTTATATGTACTGTCAATCTGCTGTATGGTGTCTATTAATCTTGTTTAAATTACCAATCAAGCTGTCAATGTAATCAATCAGAGCTTAAATATACCAATGTGATTTAATATACTTACTAATCTCTCTCATCTCATTTTTTTTCTTGCAATGTATTTGTTATCATTTTATTAATTCTAATAGAATTTACCTACTTAAAATTATCTGTTAGATTAAGGACCTGCCCGAAACGCAGCGCGTACTAGTGGCTTTACAAGAGTGCAACTACTGTACCATGCAATGTATTCTCACAAACTCAATGTACCTTCTTGTATATAAATAAATAAATAAATAAATAAATAAATAAATAAATAAATAAATAAATAAATAAATAAATAAATAAATAAATAAACCCTTAGCATAGGTTCGAATCCTCATCACGGCTCCTACGGATTTTTTCATGTATACATTTATTTATATATACATACAAAAAGGTACTTTAGGTTTATGAGAGTAAATAGGATTGATGTTTTTAAATTCTTGCAAAGCCACTAACACGCATAGCGTTTCGGGCAGGTCCTTAATCTAACAGATAATTTTAAGTAGGTAATTTGTATACAAATTAGAAGAATGTTAACAGATACATAGTAAGAAAATTTGAAGAAAATTAATAGGTACATTTCTGTAAAATTCGAGAATTGTCAACAGGTATATTGTAGCATAATTTGAAGATTAATTCTACATACATTGTAGTCAAATTTGCACTCAACACACCAACCATGATATAAGATGATAGCAGTGATTACAATAGTGAAGTTGAATGGCTTAGGCACATATATTGGGAGAGGGGAGGGTCTATCAGGAGAAAGCACCAAGCCATTACGACTATTTAGCACTGGGAAGGGATCAGGATAAGGATTTGGGATGGGACACATATATTGGGAGAGTGTATAGCACAAGATACAGTGTGAGTTTAAAGCACTAGGTAAGGAAACACACTTACGTTACGTTAATGTTATTACTCTCTGTAATAGCAACATTAAATGTTTTTGGAAATATTCTACATAGGGTGGTGTTAAGATTAAACCACCCAGGAGGTGGCACGGGCATGAATAGCCCGTAATTCTAAACACAAAGTCTTGTGGCTATATATATACACATCGCCTGTTAGCGGAAACCCAGGAGCAGTTACAGCACCGCTCCTGTGCCAGGTTAAATCCACTACGGGCTCACCATAGCCCGTGCTACTTGCAGTTCCCAGTAGTTGAATCTGAAAAAAAACAAGACTAGAAGACTACTGTGCCTTGCGGCAGGTATACACACTGTTAGGCAGATACCAGATGACCCCAGGGATGCGAACGGCGGATTCCACCTCACTAATTGTAAGACAACGCCCAGCAGACATCCTAGCTCCCCATTCCTCCGCCTGGGCGACACTGGCCAATCAGGGTTGCCAGATCCAAATTGACCCCGACCAGTTGTGTAAGCGGACCCCGACCAGCAGTGTAACTGCAAGCCTAGCATGAACGAACCGACAATAAACATACTTGAACTTGAAGTGGACTTTAATGTTTTTTCGGCAGCTTTATTTCCTTAGTTTCCGAGCTGTTTTCTTTACCGTGTATGTTGTAATAAACTATTCCTATATTTACAGTTGTTTCTCCCTGTGAAGATTATTAAACAATGGTGATTATAAGGGCGCGGAAGTTCAGCCTGGCCAGGGCCGCCAGCAGCCCTTGGGCCCGCCCCGGCAGCTCCCAGTCTTTAATTTGGCACCTTTGTGGCACCTTTGTGGGACCTTTGTGGCACCTTTGTGGCACCTTGGTGTAAGCCTAACATGTATATATACACACTGGCTGCCTGTCCCCCCTACACAATGATTTATTATTACCTATTATTTTATCATTTAATTTAAATATTAAATAAAATAATGTATTTAATTATTATAGTAAGTACTTAATAATTTAATAATAAGTAGTAAGTACATAAAAATGATTAAAAAGTACAGTTTAGTCATAGGAGATTCCTAGATTGGAATTCACTACCAAATTTCAATATATCCAAGTATTTTTAGTGTGAAATGCTGTTATTATATGCATAAATTGTTGTTTTAATAATATTACGCTTAACCACTTGGGCTGGACGGTAGAGCGACGGTCTCGTTTCCTACACGTCCGCGTTCAATCCCCGACCGCCCAAAAGGTTGGGCAAAATTCCTTTCCCCCGTTCCATCCCAAATCCGTATCCTGATCCCTTCCGAGTGCTACATAGTCGTAATGGCTTGGCACTTTCACTTGATAGTTCCCCCACCCCCCTGAATAATATTACGAGGGCAGTATTTACGGGCTATTCATGCCCGTGCCACCTCTTGGGTGGCTTAATCTTCATCAATCGAGAGCAGTACGTCCTAACCAGACATTATATGATGATATCCTGAACAGTTGATAAATAAAAGTAATTGCGGAACTCCAGTTATCTAATACTTATCATAAATGGTATAAAACCTTATCATAAGCCAAGGGATTTGTAGATCAGTGTTTAAAGGGAATTCGGAAGTAATAATAACACAGCTGATGCCATCTGTCGGCAGAAGAGAACACTATCAACTGGCTGGTCAATAGTGGCCATAAGGTACAGCTTACGCCATCTGTTGACATCAAATTACACTTATAACAAATTACCCCACAAAATACCACTAACGCCATCTAGTTTTTTTCCAACGCACTATAAATAGCCAAACAGCAACCCATAAGGCGGGTTGTTGTGCTCGGGTAGGAGGTTCCAAGCTCCGCCCACAGATGGTATGGGGGTGCATAATAAATGGCATATCATTGGTAGATATTCTTTGTTGACATTCACTCAACAGCCAATCACAGGACGGGATCAGCTAAAGGCTCCATCCACTTAATAAAACATCTTTATTCAGCACAACATCCTTGCTTATGACATTCTGCTTCAACTTTAATCTTTCTAAAAAGTGAAATGTTAAGTATTTAAAAATATTAATATAGTGATAATTAAATACTGCAGGATGTAACGAGTGTTACAGAAACATGGGCTGGCTACCTAACTTGGGACGTCATCAGTGGGTGTTGCCTCACACAAATAATGATACACGGCTCTACCCTCTTATTCGAGTAAATTATTCAGTTAAATGGAGATTTCTGTCAGGTGCAAAACAGAAATTGTTGTTCTTTTTCACAACAACCTTGTTGTTGTGCACAAGGACCTATTTCTTAGTTTAAATTTTATTCATAAAAGAGTGTTGGTATTCCCCGCAACAGCCAATCACAGGAAGGTATTTCTGGAAGCTCGGCCTCCTTATGGACTCAGCACATCGATCTAGCTCATGGCTCTCTGTTTCATCTCTTGTATATACAAACTATGACTTTTTTGATTACTGTTATAATTAATAATATGAGATATAAAAGTTTTTACACAAAATGACTAAATTCTGCCATTAAATGGACTTTGTCTGGTATACATACAAACATACACCAATTTATTACCATTCATCCATTATTAATTTCAAAAGTAATGTATACTCTAGTTTTTTCCTCTCGCCATTACTTGGTGCAATATTTGAAAGTTGTCTATTTATTTATCGATCTATCTATTATCTTGTATTTATATTTACAAGTTTCTGTGCTTGGAAGAAAACTCTGCATTGAATTTGGACTAATTTATTAAATAATATTATTTTGTATTAATTAATATTTACAATTATTTATAGCTTAGTTACTTTCATGTAACTCGCAATCGTACATTCTTAACATTAATAGCCCAAATTAGCACATCTTGCTTTTAAATTAGCCCAAAAAGTAGCAAGTTGCGAAATTAATAATTTAGGAGCGCGGAGCTCTCAAAAGTAGCCCAATTCGCTATTTGTAGCCCAATCTGGCAACACTATGGCGCAGCTTGGACGAACATTACCTTAAGACTTAATGTTATTTAATACCATCAGCAGGACTGAGCCCCATTACCTTGCCTTTAATGTGTATAATTTCCTTTGTGTAGTTGTCATGAATCGTTGCATGATTATTTGTATACTTACTTACTTTTGACTGGGAGAGTTTGAGCATTGTGCGCTGCTGGATATCATATCTTGAGGTTATCTTGAGATGATTTCGAGGCTTTTTAGTGTCCCCGCGGCCCGGTCCTCGACCAGGCCTCCACCCCCAGGAAGCAGCCCGTGACAGCTGACTAACACCCAAGTACCTATTTTTACTGCTACGACAGTATTTCATGACAATGAAAGGACAAATGCAGTGATCAACATTTATTTGTAACAAAGTTGTTCACATTATACAACAACACCGGACTGTGCACAAAACTGGGAGTGCGGTAGTACAAACACCAGACTTATATAGCCTCAATATAATATTTATTTACATGACTGAGCCAAATATTACAAAATATGTTCCTTCAATCTGGGATGATTACAAAATACACAACTCTATACAATGTTTTCCGTATTTTTCGTTATACAGAGAGCAGAAGAGTATAGCTGGAGAATGATATATGGATATGGGAGCTGAAACAGCCTAGCGCGGCCGTGGGTAGACGTGAAGACTGTAAGAATGGCGTCATATCTTGACCACCTGTCCATGGGAGAGAAAATTTATTGTCAATATTCATGAATAATATATTTTATGTTAAAAAATACTTCCCCTAATTTATTTTTTATGTTTGATGAAAATATACTGATGACATGTAACACTAAAGCAACCTAAACAGAAATCACAATTGCGTGATGCATCAAGTGAACAAATCCACAAGGGCCGTGACGAGGATTCGAACCTGAGTCCGAGATCATCCCAGACGCTGCCTTAATCGACTGAGCTACGACATGCTCAAAAGGAGTTGAAACCGAAGTTCTACTGAACTTACTGGATCCTGCAGCCTCTCTGAGGTTTGTGTTTCAACTCCTTTTGACCATGTCGTAGCTCAGTCAATTAAGGCAGCGTCTGGAACGCTCTCGGACGCAGGTTCAAATCCTCGTCACAGCCCTTGTAGATTTGTTCACTAAGCAACCCATTCTCTTGATTTGCCGCAAAGTACTAACCAAACCTATAATGCAGGAACCCCAACCACAATCGTACAAAATGAGACGTATTAGTTGGTAGGACGGGATGCTGTGAGACTCGAAATGGAATGTGCTAGCGATATGACAAAGCAAATATGATACAGGCAACAAGGAGACGATTGATCAAGAAGACAATATAAGCCTCACCTCCAGTACCAAGGGCTGGGCTGTGGTGCGGCCCAGGCAGTGTCTGCGGTATCCCCTATAGTCTTATACACCAGCGTTTCTCAACCTGTCTACCCTTGAGGAACCCTCAAAATATTTCTCATGTCTCGAAAAAAAAACCATGCTTAAAAATGATTATATACTACAGTATATATATATATTTATTAATCTCAAATATAAATATTTATAAATCAATATTTATAAAAACAAGACCATATTTGTAAACAAACAAATAAACACTGATAATGTTTGTAAATCATAAGATAAATCAAGATCAAATGGGTTAAGAAAATGTTATTTTTTAAGCCAATTTAGATAATGATATTTGCTTCTCAAATGTGAAACCTGAGCTTGTCTTTTGGTACACAAATACTTAATTCGTGGCTGAACTTCTTATAAACACACATGGATTTCATAACCAATTGAAGGGAGACGATTTCTTGCTCACGTGTAAGAAGTTGAAAATTGCAGCAATGTATTTATTGTTTTGCTATGAATGCTAGGATAGTCATCTTTCACAGAAATCCAGAACTTATCCAGGGACAGGTCAGTGAATCTCAGCTTGAGTGTATGATCACACTTCACCTCATGTTTCTCCTCTTCTCTTTAAGTCAAGTTCTCATGACGATGAACAGACGATTCAGAGAATGGATCCCTCAGCCAATCATAAACTTGTGTTGAAAGGGAGCAGTAGTCGAAACATTTCAAGATTTCCTTTTGCAATATGATTTTCCCTAAGATTCGTTCTTCTTTTAAATCAATGAAACTTGTCACTTGAAGTCAATATATTTTCTCCAGAACCTTACAGTGACTTTTCAACTGATTCATGTGGTGAAAAATGTCTGCTAAGTAGGTGAGCCTTTGAAACTATTCATCATCATCAAACCAGTTGACAAAATTTAGCTTATTGCTTTCTCGAAAGCAGTCCTGGAATTCATCTTTCAGCTCAGGCACCGTTTAAAACTCTTCAAAAACACATTTGAATATGATTAACATTGAGCTATTTATCACTAAAACCCCTAAACCCTAGGATTTGGGGAACCTCAGTTGAGAAACGCTAGTAAAGACCCCTATGGTATACCGTCTCGGGCGAAGCAAAGTTGACATCGACTGGGCGAGGCAGCATTGAGGCCGCGCACAAGGGAGAAACAACATCGACATCCTGTTGAGGCATTATTGATTCCCCCCACTCCCTCGGGCGAGGCAGCGCTGACCCCTCCTGGACGAGGCATCCTTATCGCCTCCTGCTGGAGGTCTCCAGATGCTAACCGGTTGTGCCGCCAACCCGACCGTTACGCCCGTGGTCTCCTGCGTCAAGAACATAACTTATTATTATACCACATTTGACAGAGAACGTGTCTTAATGTTCATTTTCGACATTTACAATCCAGACCCCCATTATGTATCTCTGGAACATTTGAGGATGGGTCTGAAGTGCACAATAAATGACCTAAACCAAAAAACACAATATTGGCCGCCGCCACTGTACTCAAACCGTAATATACATCTTCCAAACCGCTGATAACTATTTTGCAAATGATTGAACACTGTGAAGTGCTCGATATGAAGTGAAACAAGAACTATAGGGACAATTCCAATCATAAATATTGCAATGTCAAAACTTTACATCCATAATGATATTGACTATTAATTAAAAGCTCCCAAAAAATTCTAACGTTACCTATTATTAATAGTCCATTACCGGTGTTAATTGCCTGAGTGGCAATACAGCGCATAAAACAAACGACTTGCATGATAACGACCCACAGGCCGTACAGAAACGCCAGGTTTGCCAATTAAATCCATTTTTTTGTAAAAATTCCATATCTGAAACTTCTTTACCACCTTCCACTGGTATAAATAGAGGCGCATAATGGAGGTCTGAAGTCAAATATGTAGGCTTACGTACCTGGAGGTCCGCCATCACAGAGTACAGCCCACTCAGCTCTCCCAGGTCAGAGGACACCCTGGACCCGCTTTGTAGCCGCCTCGCCTCCACACTCTTCCCCCGACCCACCGCACTGAAATATACACCGTCTGCTTAGTTAAGATCAGTGGACCACCAGCCGCTTCGTGAAGAACAGTATATAACTGATGCTTAGTGAACTACAGTGCAGACCACTGTTCAGTGACCTAATCTAAATCATCTGCGGAATTGGGCTTGATGAAGTGAGAGGTGTATAGCAATCAGGTTATGGATAATATGCTAGGCTGCTTCAGTGAGAGGTGCTGCTTACAGTGCTAGGCTTCAGTAATATGGTGGGTACAGTGCTAGACTTCAGTAATGTGGTGGGTACAGTGATAGGCTTCAGTAATGTGGTGGGTACAGAGCTAGGCTTCAGTAATGTGGTGGGTACAGTGCTAGGCTTCAGTAATGTGGTGGGTACAGTGCTAGGCTTCAGTAATGTGGTGGGTACAGTGCTAGGCTTCAGTAATGTGGTGGGTACAGTGCTAGGCTTCAGTAATGTGGTGGGTACAGTGCTAGGCTTCAGTAATGTGGTGGGTACAGTGCTAGGCTTCAGTAATGTGGTGGGTACAGTGCTAGGCTTCAGTAATGTGGTGGGTACAGTGCTAGGCTTCAGTAATGTGGTGGGTACAGTGCTAGGCTTCAGTAATGTGGTGGGTACAGTGCTAGGCTTCAGTAATGTGGTGGGTACAGTGCTAGGCTTCAGTAATGTGGTGGGTACAGTGCTAGGCTTCAGTAATGTGGTGGGTACAGTGCTAGGCTTCAGTAATGTGGTGGGTACAGTGCTAGGCTTCAGTAATGTGGTGGGTACAGTGCTAGGCTTCAGTAATGTGGTGGGTACAGTGCTAGGCTTCAGTAATGTGGTGGATACAGTGCTAGGCTTCAGTAATGTGGTGGGTACAGTGCTAGGCTTCAGTAATGTGGTGGATACAGTGCTAGGCTTCAGTAATGTGGTGGGTACAGTGCTAGGCTTCAGTAATGTGGTGGGTACAGTGCTAGGCTTCAGTAATGTGGTGGGTACAGTGCTAGGCTGCTTCAGAGAGAGGTTACAGTACAGCTGACAATAGACACAATGAAGAGATGATAATGTTATAATGGTGGATCTGAAATACCATGACATGCTTCTGTAAACAAAAAATAGAATGATCAAATTACTTTAACAAAACATTAAGTCCATCATGGCTTGCTTTTGTTATCATCAGACGTGACTTTAATTATTTTATTATTATTTGTACTTAACATCTCCACAAGCCTGATAATATTAGTCTCCAAGATCATTTCGTATTCTTCCCGCCCCCACTGCAGTTAATAGTTCATTTTGTATAGCAAAAACAAAATAAATAAATAAATTTTAGCCGTTCTTAGCACTAAAGTTAGGAAGCCTGGACGCGGTAACTTTGGCCATCGAATTATTTTAGTTTTTACTACGAGAACAATAGCGTCCATTAGAACAAAAAACGCAGTGTACTTGGACCAATTTGTTGAGAACGACAGACAGAAAAACACCAAATTTGCCGAAGACTTTTGTCGTTGAGAGGAAATGTGAAGATAAATTTGCTGATCTCATACTGTTAGCGTCAACGGCAGCAGCGGAGCCCCAGAGTGGTGTCTGATACTGTTTACCATTGTGTGTGTGTGTGTGTGTGTGTGTGTGTGTGTGTGTGTGTGTGTGTGTGTGTGTGTGTGTGTGTGTGTACTCACCTAGTTGTGTTTGCGGGGGTTGAGCTCTGGCTCTTTGGTCCCGCCTCTCAACCGTCAATCAACAGGTGTACAGATTCCTGAGCCTATCGGGCTCTGTCATATCTACACTTGAAACTGTGTATGGAGTCAGCCTCCACCACATCACTTCCTAATGCATTCCATTTGTCAACCACTCTGACACTAAAAAAGTTCTTTCTAATATCTCTGTGGCTCATTTGGGCACTCAGTTTCCACCTGTGTCCCCTTGTGCGTGTTCCCCTTGTGTTAAATAGACTGTCTTTATCTACCCTATCAATCCCCTTCAGAATCTTGAATGTGGTGATCATGTTCCCCCTAACTCTTCTGTCTTCCAGCGAAGTGAGGTTTAATTCCCGTAGTCTCTCCTCGTAGCTCATACCTCTCAGCTCGGGTACTAGTCTGGTGGCAAACCTTTGAACCTTTTCCAGTTTAGTCTTATCCTTGACTAGATATGGACTCCATGCTGGGGCTGCATACTCCAGGATTGGCCTGACATATGTGGTATACAAAGTTCTGAATGATTCTTTACACAAGTTTCTGAATGCCGTTCGCATGTTGGCCAGCCTGGCATATGCCGCTGATGTTATCCGCTTGATATGTGCTGCAGGAGACAGGTCTGGTGTGATATCAACCCCCAAGTCTTTTTCCTTCTCTGACTCCTGAAGAATTTCCTCTCCCAGATGATACCTTGTATCTGGCCTCCTGCTCCCTACACCTATCTTCATTACATTACATTTGGTTGGGTTAAACTCTAACAACCATTTGTTCGACCATTCCTTCAGCTTGTCTAGGTCTTCTTGAAGCCTCAAACAGTCCTCTTCTGTTTTAATCCTTCTCATAATTTTAGCATCGTCTGCAAACATTGAGAGAAATGAATCGATACCCTCCGGGAGATCATTTACATATATCAGAAACAAGATAGGACCGAGTACAGAGCCCTGTGGGACTCCACTGGTGACTTCACGCCAATCGGAGGTCTTACCCCTCACCGTAACTCTCTGCTTCCTATTGCTTAGATACTCCCTTATCCACTGGAGCACCTTACCAGCTACACCTGCCTGTCTCTCCAGCTTATGTACCAGCCTCTTATGCGGTACTGTGTCAAAGGCTTTCCGACAATCCAAGAAAATGCAGTCCGCCCAGCCCTCTCTTTCTTGCTTAATCTGTGTCACCTGATCGTAGAATTCTATCAAGCCTGTAAGGCAAGATTTACCCTACCTGAACCCATGTTGGCGATTTGTCACGAAGTCCCTTCTCTCCAGATGTGTTACCAGGTTTTTTCTCACGATCTTCTCCATCACCTTGCATGGTATACAAGTCAAGGACACTGGCCGTATGTGTGTGTGTATGTGTAAGGTAATTACCTAAGTGTAGTTACAGGATGAGAGCTGCGCTCGTGGTGTCCCGTCTTCCCAGCACTCTTTGTCATATAACGCTTTGAAACTACTGTGTGTGTGTGTGTGTGTGTGTGTGTGTGTGTGTGTGTGTGTGTGTGTGTGTGTGCTTACCTATCGGTGATTACCGGGAAGTGTGGCCACCTTGGACCTCTCGCCTACTACTTTCTCTCACTTACGGAGACTGTCCTTGTCCATCTAGTCAATTCCCCCTCAGTATTTTGCATGTTGCGAACATATCCCCCTATGTTGTATCTCCCGTCTAAGGTTGCGAGATCTGTTATTTTTCTCCTTATATGGCTTTGGTTGGTCCTTAGCATTTGCCAAAATTAAATTAGTAAGTTGCCTCTCAGCTGCTCTTCTGATTCATGTGTATTTATTTCTGGTTCTGTTTAGTGCTTGTCTTTTGGCCTAAGTTCCTACTTCTCTGTATTTTTTTTCAGGCTTTTTTGGTCTTTTCTTCTGTATATTTCTCTGTGTTAAAGTCCCCCAGTATTAGAATTTTTAGCTTTTGTTCCCCTTGCCACTTCGATTGTTTTGTTTCCATTACCTTCAGGGAATTCTCGAATTCAGGGAATGGAAGGGGAACTTTCGTACTTCTCTTCGCCTTAATTACTTGTCCAAACCTGCATTTACCATCGCTTGCCTAAATCTAAACTCCTCCAATTTAATTTATCCAAACATTGCCACACCTTAAAGGCCTGCGTGTAACATCCACAATCTTTATATAAGGAGAAGGAAGGAAGGAAGGAACCTCATCGACTTGAGAATGGTCCAGGACGGACCGAAACGTCGTCGTCGTCCCTTCACTTTCTAGTGTGTGGTCTGGTCAACATAAGGAGAAGGAATCATTTGCAAGATTTTCGATTTACAGAACTAAATGATCGCAGCACCCTTTTTCCACATGGTCTTGAATAGTTGCACGATATGAGTGATAGCGGCAAGGCAGGGGCCCAAGAGTTGAAACCTGCTCCCGCAGAGACAATAATGCAAGTACAACACAGCACACACTTACAGTGCACACACCACTTATCCCATAACTTACACTTAAAACCTCAGGAAGCCACAATACTTATATGACTGAGGCAATAACACTGACCGGGGAGGCGCGAACAGCAGGTAGAGCCCACAGCACTGCTACACTGTGGGTGTGACGCAGGGGTTTGTGGGCGTGGGTGTGGGTGGTGGGCGCAGGGGCGTACACTCATCACCCCCGGTGGAGGACTTACAGCCTTACCCCGCCACGCCGAGCACCGTGAGACTCCTTCCTCAGTGCCCCGGGTATGTTGGGTCGTCTTCAGGCCCGAGACCTGTGGAGGTTGGGGAGCGTGAGTGGGGGTACAACACATTCAGGGTATGAGGGCATCACAGACCAAAGGAAGCCACTAGCTATACAGTACTAGTGCACAGAAAGAAAGAGGTGACATAATCACCACATACAAAATTGTAAGAAAAATATATAAAATGTATAAAAATTAATTTTTAAATTTACCAACATCGAGAACAAGAGAGATCATAAATTCAAACTAAAAAAAAGGAGGCTGAAATAAACGTCTGTAAATAATTATTTTACAAAGTGGCATATGGATGGAAAAATTTCAATAAGAGGGTTGTATATGCCAAAACAATCAAGAGCCTCAAAATGTCATATGCCAGATTACAGGGAAGATGGGGACACCATGAGCATAGCTCTCATTCTGGAACTACACTTTGGAAATGTAGCAGACCTCTGGCAGGGAGGTGTGAGAGTGAGGGAAGGAAAGAGAGAGAGAGAGAGGTACTAAAGAGGAAAAGGAACTGATTGAAGAGGGCTTACCGCGCTGCAGGAGGCTCGACTGAGGTAGGTGGAGGCAAGACAGAGGACGAGGCTGAGCAGTAGAGGCAGCGGGAGGGTAGAGGTGGTGGTGCCGCTCTCGCTCCCGGAGTGGATGGCTGCTGGCGTCTCTCCTCCTACCGGAGAATAGTTTATTATTATTATTATTATTTTCTACCACAGACGTGGCCACACATTTACAATGCTGATCAGTATATATACATTTTCTTCTGTTCTCCATGGACAGGAGAAAAATGTACATATGCTTGTTAGCATTGTAAATGCCACGTCTGTGGTGCGTTATGTTGGGAATATGGCTCTGGCACTTACAAGTGTGGATTGCGTTTTTATGAATCCAATTTACACATATAATATAAACTTAGATCTTCAGATGTTACATAGATCTGCAGTTGTTATGAACTTAGTTATATAGATCTGTGAGAAGCTAAAGGATGCCGTGTACAAGGATAGTCTTAGATATTAAAGCACGGTGGTTCCCAACCTTCCAAGTCTCAGCCCCCATTTTCCAAGCACGTTTTCACATGTGGACCCCCCTACGTCCATGTTCTCACCTGTGGACCCCCTATGGCCATGTTTTCACCTGTGGACCCCTACAACAAAATAGATCAACCTAGCAAAATTGACATTAACCATTACTGCGAAAAATAGATTTATCACAATCGCTGCATTAATATTTGCAGATGAAACTCTGCATAAATGAAAACTGCGGATTTTCATTTCAACAAGACCAATAAGTGGGTCTTATTTTGTTAGAGTACAGTACATAGTATTAGTCCCGTGGACCCCATGAAATTCTTCCATGGGTCCCAAAGGATCCATTGAACCTCAGGGTTGGAACCGCTCCTCAAGATACTCTTAAGAGGATCTGTAGCCTCATTGTGATTGGCCACCAAAGATCCGTGGGAAGATTATTGTTTTCTTGTTTGTAATATCTTGTTAGTGTGGGAGTTCTATGTACTCTGTCAAGTGTATCTGAAGCACTCATAAGTGGATCGCATTGGGATCTTAGGAAGCACTCAGGGACTGGTGTTTGTAAATATAATGTTCAGATGTAGATTACACAGATGTACATGGAGGTTTGACTTCTGTGTCTGCGTCCTCATTGTGCAGGATGCCCGCAGGGATGCCCGCAGGGATGCCCACGGTGATCATGACAAGAGAGCTGTACACAATACAACAGAACACCAGAACAGATGGAACGTCTGGGCACAGTGCCTATCAGTCGGCCGTACACATTAACAATTCACCCCTCAGATAGTCGCTAAGCAAGGGCTGGCCAATGGTTGGGTCAGGTCGGGTCAATGTGCATGCAGGAGTTCACGACGTTATGAGTTATGTCGCTGCCTTGCTAATCCAATGGGATTAGTATTGTGTATCAAGGATGTCGAGGCTCTCGCACGCCTCTACTGTTACATATAAGATCACGTTGAGACTGAGGACAAGGAGTGCGGAGTTGGGAGTGGTTGCACTTCCGCTGAGGAGACAAACATCACGTACCTGGAGTAGCATGTAAAGTACTGGGAAGTGAGTCTCTCTTGCTCTTTATGCTCTTGTACTCTATTATAGTACTCACATCCCTGGAAACACAAACCGTAAATGTCTCTATTTTCAGCTTGTTACAACTTGTAATAAAGTTGTTACATCTTGGCTTAACGTGTTTATGATGTATTAGAACGTTGTTACAACTTGGTATATTGGTTGTTATAACTGGTTAGGAGGTGTTAAAACTTGTTCGAACGTTGTACCAACGTCGTAGTTTCGGTGTGTTTGGCGGGATTACTTCATTCAATTCAATTTGCCTCTATTAGGGAACCATAGTTAGGGATTAACCATTTAAAGTGTTCAGTAAATGTTTTAAACTTTCCACTTCTTGAGTATTAATGGTACCTGGTGATGTGCTATTGGACATACCGTTCTCTCTGACCTCATGACCCAGTGCCTTTAACTGCCAGGTATCCCTCCCTTTCATTCCCCCTTGAAAAGGTGATGTCTATACTATAGTGTACCGGACTGCTCCATTTATTCTGTATAATAAACACAAGTGGTTTCAGGGTTATTCGGGTGCCAGGCCAGGATCCTTCTAACATTCGTTCATGCTTACACCTGCGCTGGGAGGATATTAACATCTAACTTGTCTCTCCCGGCCACTTGATCCGGAGTAATTAGTTTATCAATAAGTTAAGAATATCAGGGTAGTGGCAGCGCTTGTGTGTATATGTTGACAGAAGAAGCTAACATTTCTCTCTCTCTCTCTCTCTCTCTCTCTCTCTCTCTCTCTCTCTCTCTCTCTCTCTCTCTCTCTCTCTCTCTCTTCTCTCGTATCCTCTCAATTTCTACATTTCTCTCTCTCTCTTCTCTTGTATCCTCTCAATTTCTCTCCCCTTCTCCCACTCCTCTTCAGCTTTCAATTCTCTCTCTCTCTCTCTCTCTCTCTCTCTCTCTCTCTCTCTCTCTCTCTCTCTCTCTCTCTCTCTCTCTCTCTTTCTCTCTCTCTCAAGTAGGCTACTCAGAGCTCAGATCATCTTTAGCATCTATATCGATGTTACCACAGTGGTTACAATTGTTTACACTGGTGACAGCCACAATGATTATTACAATAGTGACAGCGGTTACCAAATGTAACATTTAGAATCGTTACAGGATGTCCCACGGGGACATACGTACAGATTTGGATCTTAAAGCCAGACTATAAAACCAATTATAAAACAAAAAAAATACATATATGCGGAAGAGAAGAAGCAGCATGACAAATAAGACATTGGACCAAGAAGGTGGAGCAAAATGTCAATAAAAATAACAGCTGTAATATTATGAACACAGAAATGGCGCGCGAAGAGCCGTAACAAATCCCCACGCAATCCCTATTGAATTTTCGCGCCATTCGTTCCGCCGCCACAAAATAATAACACCTTGGAAAAAAAGTAACGTGTAATTTCAAGCAATAAAAATGTCGCATATTTCTTCTTTAGACAAATTTCTTTCTCTCAGTTGAGACATGATAGATAAGTAATAAAGTTGTAGAAGATAATTGGGTTGGTGTTAATTAATAATGAAGATCATATTTGACAATGATATCAACAATGATTGATCCTGATGATAATCATTGACGTTGAGGTATAATGAGACGCATGATAATGAGACGAATGATAATGAAAGATGGTGATGGTGATAAATTTAAACATAGGTATCCTCGACCGATTGAATTATCCATTTCATGTTTCCTTGCTACTGCTGTGTCTGTTGGTAATTAGGCTTTCTAGTGTAAATGTTTATTGCTCGGCCACTTGGGCTCAACGGTAGCGGCAGCCCTCGCTTCTTGCTGGGTTCTCGTTCGATCCCCGATGGTGCAAGCGGTTGGTCACCACTGCTTCATTCCTCATAGCCCAGCTCTTTGGCCTCATATTTCAGCTTCTTGTCCTCAATGGCACCCTGGAAAGCATGCACGCACGCACGCACTTTCGCACGAACCACACACACACACACACACACACACACACACACACACACACACACACACACACACACACACACACACACACACACACACACACCCCATATCAGCCCGGTCTCATGATTTGTCTTTAAACAAATCATTCCTTTAGTTTTCAAACAAATCATTCCTTTAGTTTTCAAACAAATCATTCCTTTAGTTTTCAAGCAAATCATTCCTTTAGTTTTCAAACAAATCATTCCTTTAGTTTTCAAACAAATAATTCCTATAGTTTTCAAACAAATCATTCCTTTAGTTTTCAAACAAATCATTCCTTTAGTTTTCAAACAAATCATTCCTTTAGTTTTCAAACAAATCATTCCTTTAGTTTTCAAACAAATCATTCCTTTAGTTTTCAAACAAATCATTCCTTTAGTTTTCAAACAAATCATTCCTTTAGTTTTCAAACAAATCATTCCTTTAGTTTTCAAACAAGTCATTCCTTTAGTTTTAATTGTAAAAAAAAAAACATTCCTTCAGTTTTCAGTGTAAAAACTAATCATTCTTATCGATTACAGTGTCAGCGAAGACAAATATTGCCCCCAGTAAATTATTCATAAAATGTTTGCGAGTAAAGTGAAATACTCACACAAAAAATGGTGCCAATATTATGTAGGGCTCCTGATAGTAAAATATAAATTAATAATATTCGCAGGGGCAAGCAGTGCCGTTGTTATATTTACTGTGGATAAATTTTATTATTTAAAGCGTAATATCAATATTATCTGAACAAACTATGATGAATTAGAGAGAGGGAGAGGGAGAGGGAGAGGGAGAGGAGAGAGAGAGAGAGAGAGAGAGAGAGAGAGAGAGAGAGAGAGAGAGAGAGAGAGAGAGAGAGAGAGAGAGAGAGAGAGAGAGAGAGAGAGAGAGAGAGAGAGAGAGAGAGAGAGAGAGAGAGAGAGAGAGAGAGAGAGAGAGAGAGAGAGAGACCTGGCTTTGACACTAGGGGAGGGGGGGGGGTGATAGACAGGAAGGTGGAGGGGGGCAGTGGAAGACAGGAGAGGGAATGGGTGGGACAGGAGCCAGGCTGGCTGGGACAGGAGAGAGAGAGAGAGAGAGAGAGAGCCGCCATGAACGCACGGTTGAACACATTGTTCACTGAAATCATTACAGCCTCAGCTCGGCCTTGACCGTCGTGGGCGACCAATGGTACCACGCTCCACTGTATTCATCTATTTGTACCTGTAGGCGGGTCCAACTTTAGCTCTTGGCCCTCCCTCATTTGTAGTCGCCTGCTATCTAATGTAATGACTCCTGTCCTATTTCGTTATCATATCTACTTGTGAAATTATGAAACAGGTCGCATCTAAAACCCGATATCTTAGTTCGTTCAATTTTCACTCTACTCTCACGCTAAAGGAAAAATATATAACATCTCTATGACTCATTTGTTTCTCAAACTTCCACCCATGTCTCGTTCAACTGGTATTGTGAACATTTCCTCGTTTTCCACTGTCAATCAAGTATTTTATACATCCCGGTCATATCTCCCTCCTCTCTCTCTCCTCTTTTCTAGTATCGCCAGTTTCTCTAATTTGTCTTCATACTCGACTTCTCGCAATTCTGGGACGAGCCTCGTTGCAAACTTTTCAACCTTTTCGAGTTATGTGCTTATTTTAGATGGGGCTGCGTACTCTAAGAATGGTCTC